TATTTGTGTATAGATTCAACTCCCTTTCCGGTTGCGACTTTTACTTTTTCGACTTCTTCTTGAAAACCACGTACAAGTCTGATCGCTTTGATAATCAGTGCATATGTATCTTGAGTAGACCTCACTTAGATTTTTTCATTTCATTCATTAAAATGAATAGTTTTGTAATTTTTGGTAAAATATTATATTTTCGACTTCCTATCGAAAAAAACAAGTACGATTGCTTAGTTGTTATACATGTAGATACTGCCCGTAGAACTCTCTCTGATTTGTTTATTTTGTGATAATTATTTTAATTTTCCAATTTTGATGAATATTTTAGTATTTTTGGCAATAGATGATATTTTTGACTTCTTGTTAAAGTTCTGCAATATTGTTTTGATATCATACATAAATGTGCTACAGGTGGACTTCTTCATTTTGTGACACCTTCAATATCCAAATTAAAATGTGCATTGCTACAGCAGAGCTATCTCAGCCATCGTGGTTCCTTCACCCATCACTTGTTCAGCTCAGTTGGTAGAGTGGCTACTTTACAGATTGTTTTATCTGCAGGAACGTTGTTCAAGTTTGAAGGCTTGCCACTAGAAAACAGTTCAATTCAAATATTAGTGATTATTTTGCACACTCACGTACATTCATTATAAATAAATAAGTAACGAGTAAACACAGACAGTTTGCAACCAACAAACTAGACGATTTATGGGTAAAGCCGGACAGTTGCCTATGAAAACACTGACCAGTTCTTTAGAAGTGTTGGTTACAGGACAAAGCAAGACATGGTTAAAATATTACTGATAACACTCAGCCTATGAAACATTTTTGAAACTCCAGGATGCATGTCTATGTATGGTACACGTAAATTTGAGCTACCGATGCGGCAGTGGCTGTTGCTGTGTGATGATAATGTTTTGAACTGTTGTGTCTTCAATTTTTGGTCCTAATTGTCTTTGACATCAAACATGGTAAATTAACTCAGGGAGTGCAATACATTCCTACATATCTAAGCACAACATTGCTACTAAAACGTCAGACGTAATTTGACAAAGTCCTTTGCTGCCAAGTTTCTACCAGTAACCTCGACCATGCTACAGCCTTCCCCATTGACCAGAACTATATCTTATATCTGCGGATTGACTATCAACTTCATTTTTGTAATAGTGAGTGACACCCCATCTACTCGGCCCTGAAATTAACTACCCTTGGTCATGTCACATTGACATTGAGTTCTAGTTACTGGGTGTTACCCGCATAGTCTGTACCCAACATCACAAAGTTGAATGCTGGATCAGCTCAGAGGTATTATAATAGCAATGACAATCATGGGCCTCCTAAAGTAGTGTTGGGCTCATGTCATGGTGTAGCCTATGGTGAAACCTAGATGACACCACCGTGGTAATCAGCCTTATTCAGTGTAGTCAAGACATATGCCTCCCAGTATGTTCCTGCATATAACTGAACCAGCTTATATCACACTTGGCTGGCCCCTCTTTAGGTCAACCCTTTGATTTCCTGGATAGCACCACCCAAACTCATTCATCAAAGTAGACTGCCAGTTCTGTTACTGTTATTGTAACGTGATCCAAACTAGCATCATTTGGCAGTTTTTGAAAACAATTTTAATTCACTCTACTATCAATATTTATGTCTATCAGGAGGTGGGGTCATGCCAGGACAGAGAATCACATCCTCGTCTTACACACCGTGATCTGATTTACGTGCTATGTTCACATTTAATTGTGTTGACAAATTGTTAGTATTGTGGTCATTGCCTCTATTCTTGTTCTAGCTTGCATTGTACACACTATGTTCCAATTTGATTATGGTGTCTGACCAATATAACATCTCATTTCAGCAGTCGTGCCCTTGTGTAAGCTTGGACAGCTGTACTATAGACCCCACCCCATAATAATAGGCCCTGCATGATTCATTTCCTTACCCAGTATGTACAGTTAGGTAAACCAAATATATAGTATATTATGGCTGAATGTTATAAATTATGTTAGATTTCCAATGTTATATTTCTTTTAGGCAGAAGGCACTTGCTTCCACTTCCGGTATTAGTAGTATACACAATCCATACTTCGAAATGGATTTGATTCTAGATGATAAAGTCATAATTGCTGGAGTAAGGCGAAGCTCTCACAGACATATTATTAAGATTGAATTAATACAAATTTAAGTTTTTCGCAAGTATTGATATGCATTTATTATGATATAAAGGTTTGTCAATTGTCTTCACACAACAAAACACTGTATATGTGTACTATATTCTTCTAAGAGGACTCGCTGAATTATTAATTACGTACATTTGTTTTAGCTATCTGTCGGCAGATGACACATCACATGGAGTGCATACCAGCAGAGAAACGTGAAGATTATTTTGAAGATTTATTTCAACACTGTAAAAATGAAGCAAAGAAAACTGAAGATGGCCGTATAAAGTGGCTCTTAGATATGATTACAGTTGTTGTAGAAAAATAGCCGACAAAATAAAAATATTTGTCGATATGTTCAAAAATATAAAGATGCAAAAACTTACGTTCACCATTTTGTGTGGGTTCTGGTTACCAGGCAAACAGCATATCTTCAATAGATTCATGGGAGGTTAGCAATGTACAAAATGAGTGTTATGAAAGATTATCATAGAGACCAGTTCATATACAGGTGTCGAGGTCATGTTCAAATAACTTATATAAGGAGTTGTATAATGATGCAAAAAATACGCAAAATAATATAGAGAAATTTATAACTATGCTGGCTAAAAATAGATGGTCTATTTAATTATAGAAAGTAATACAAATTTGTTAAAATAACTAACTACCGAATACCCGTTGATATAGGTGCCATATCACGTTCACTAGGTGTTCACCAGACTTTCTACTATTCATCTTTCATGATCCACGTCTCATTCAATCAGTGGCCTTCACCAATGAATATTTTCTGATTTAATAATTTGATGATAATTTTTATTAGTAATTGTAATATTACATATCACTTTGTATTCTTGTTGGTTTTTTTGAGCTTTGCAAAGCTATCCATTTTCTGAAAGTTTATGAATTACAGATAAAAAAAATCAATAAACATTTTTTTGTAAACTGCCTAGATATAGGATCTCTATCTACAAATTTATATTCTTAAGACTGAAACTTTGAATGAAAACACTCTATATATTTAATTACTGTAAGCCCAACCACTCGACAAATGACAAAAATACAAAATTAGCATGTTTCTTCTAACACGCAGTTATATGTATGACTGTATGTCACCATGTATGTAATATTGTATACAATTATGAGATTATTCTGTATTACTGATATTTGTGGCGGACATATATATGGTACAACGGTTACCCAAATGACGTAGTTGTATATATTGATGATGATAATACACAGAGCCTCTTTATCTTCATAAAAGCCTTTCTGTAGTGGGTCCAGGAAAACATGATGTACAATGCTGGCTTGGCCCAATGGATATACACTCATTGAATGTGTTGTCAGTGCAACACACTGTGGGTGGAAGTTTGTCACTTTCAGCCATATGTTTGCAGAAGAAATACCTCACTGCACTGAATATGAATGCGCTTTGGATGATAAGCGATACATACAAATTTAGCCAAACGAGAAATTTTATAACAGTCATTTCAGTCTCATCACAAAGCATCTGCAAAGATGATAACGCCATCGTTAGTTGGGAGGTATTACGGAAGCCATGTATTGCATGATATATCATCAATTTGTCAGCTTCCTCTAGGTTGCAAATTATCATTTCTTAGTATTACCAGATGCTGATGCAATCAGCTTAGATTTGTGTTAGTTGTATTCAAGAGTTTTGGTTGCTAGATACTCTGCTTGTCAAATCTGCCTGTTTGATCATGAGAAAGGAATCGACTATTGTAAATGTGCATAATGATTATATTGGACCACAGTTTTGCCATGAGGTATTTTTTCTCTGGTTGAAATCCTCAGAGAACCCACTGTGTATGTGTCAAGCACAAGAGTAATCTCATCACAAACTGTCATTAAAAGATATGCTCATATCTTCAGCTGTTTCTACTGTCACTGCTTTTTGGCTAGTTTCTTAACAATGACCGCTCCATCCACTCTTGCGATTTTTGGTTTGATTGTCAACATCTGATATCATTAGATTCGTTGGGATTAGGAACCATCTCTGTATCATCTGCATGTGATTCTTTTCTTCCCAATTGCTGAAGGGCATAGATCATCTTAGATTTATCCATGTATGGGATCCCTGATTCACTTGTTTCAAACAGTGCTCTTAGTATTAGGATGAACACATAAATACTGATTGCTTGTTTTTTATTAATATCTGTGCTTGACCTGGCAAGATCCACAAAGATCATTCCCTTCGATCTGCTCTGATACATACATTTCATGTAACTTTTGTCAAATGTCGTCAATATTCAGGATCTGAGGTACAAACTCTTGTGGAACACATGCATGGGTTATGAAGTTACATAGTTTTTCACCTTTAATTGCATATTGATTACTATGACTCATTTTAGTATTCTTGATCCTATCAATTGCACTACGCTCTCGGTTGACACTTCTAGATGAAAGATTATGATACTGTCTATTGGCCACCAGGGGGATTCTTGAACTCACTAGATAAATCGATATAAAAATGTCTGACATTAGCATTATTTGAGATACCAATCAGACCAGTGTGAACTTTCATTAGTCTATCCAGTTGTTCACACACATGATCGACTCCAATGGACACAAATGAAATGTGATTCTTTGGGACTGATATGTTTACATTTTCAAGCTTCTCTCAATTCCCAGGTTTGTCTTGATGTCACACGCAACGTAATATCACCATAATTGGTATAGTACAGGTGTGATGGTTCAAATACCAAAATGGCAACAGTAACAGAAAGACTTCCCTGGCGGCGATGATAAAATACGAACACGGAGCCAACAGATGAGGTTTCAACTGGTACTGGTATTATTATACTCTGCAAACATCAAGTACAATAACGCGGTAAAACTCCATTACTCCAATGACTAGATACTTAAACTCCAATACAATTCAA